CGGGGAGGGCGGGCCGCGGCCCCGGCCCCCATGGTGCGCTACAGCAGTGGGGCACAGGGTTCCACACTTTCCTTCCCACCTGGCGTCCCCGCCCCCGCGGCAGTGTCCCTGCGGCCATCTCCAACAGGCCCCCCTCCGCGCTGCTCGGTTCCCGGCTGCCCCCACCCACGCCGCTACGCCTGCTCCCGCACGGGCCAGGCGCTCTGCAGCCTTCAGTGCTACCGCATCAACCTGCAGATGCGGCTGGGGGGACCCGAGGGGCCCGGATCCCCCCTTCTGGCTACTTAAGGTCCTTACCTAACCCGGACTCTACGCCCTCCCGATGCCCCGTTTTCAGTGTCTTCCCACCCTATTAAATTGCATATGGTGCCTCGGCTTGTACAGAATTGGGGGAGTGGGACGTGGGCAAACCAATACCCGGTACACATATCTTGCTCTCGTTGGAGCTTTCGTCAACGCCTGGGACTTGGAAACGGCCGCAAGAAGGCCGACAGTCTGCGCCCAGAGTCAGACAGACTTTGGGGACCCCCGCCTCTTCCAGCCGGCGGTTCTGTCGTCTGTATTGGCTATTGTCGCTGTCGATCAGGGCCATGGGCCGAACCTTCCCCCACTCTTTGTCTGTGCAAGCTCTTGTTGTCTGGGAGAGCGGCGGAGGTGCTGCTGCAGATTGGTTACAGGGAAAAACCCCTGGTCTGTTCCTATTGGTCCGCCCGTCGGAGGGCGATGCTGATTGGTAGGACAGAGCGATCTGGGTCCTAGTTGGCGGAGCTCTCTCCGGATGGAAGCTCCGGTCGCGGAGTGATGGTGGCGGCGGCGAAGATGGGCCGGGCAGGGACCATGGCGGTGGCGGTAGAGGTGGCAAGGGCGGGGCGGCTGGCGGTGGAGGAGGCTGTGGTCTTCAGGGGGCTGTAGGTGGAGGCATGGCTCGGGCCAGCAGCGGGAACGGCAGCGAGGAGGCCTGGGGAGCACTTCGGGAGCCGCAACAGCAGGTATCCCAACAGCTCCCAAAGCCTATCACGACAGCCATTTATTTCTCTTTCCCTTTTCCTGTCCCTTCCTTTCGGGGGGTGGGGGAGGAACAAATCGAGCTAAAGGTACTGTAAAGTTCCTAAACATGTCCCTTCCGCTCTTTGTTTAAACTTCGTAACGTGGATGCAATTGGCTTTGCCTGCAGCCCCATAGACCCTATCCCATGCTTCAGTGGAAGCTTTCAGTGGCTCTCTAGTGACCAGAGGCATAGTGAGGCCCCAGGGAGGCTCCTTCTGTCTTGCAACAGTTATTTGTGATGTTTTTCTATGTGCCTATTGTCACAACAGAGTCCGGCAGCGTCTTCTCTTGAGGGAGCAATTTGGAGAAGAGCTGGAACCCAGACTCGCGCCCTGGATGCCATCCTTTATCATCCACAGCAATCCCATCTGGTTGGGAGCACTGCTCTGGGTCTCACACTGCCCCTCCTCTACCCTAGGGAGCCTGAGACCCAGGGACGGAGAGATCCAGCTTGGGGGTGGGGGGTAGTGGACCATGAGGGATGATGAAAGCATCTAAGCTTTGTAAATGACCTTAAACACCTTACCCATTGTCTGAGACTTTGGGATAGCTCAGACTGTTTTCTGGCCTCTGCCAGATCACTCCCTTAACATAGAGCACCCTTGGGGCCAGGCTTGAGTTGAGAGAAGTCTCATACACGCAGAGCTGAAATCTCCAATTTTATATGTCCACACCTTGTGTCTTGTTCTCTAGACTGATTCTTGGTGTTCCAAATCCTCTTCCACGTTGACAGCCCTTCAGATATTCGAACACTTCTTTCAGCGTTCCCCACCTCCCCATCTCTCCAAGCTGAACTTGGTTCACAGGGTGGGATTGTGTATGTGCATGCAGGAGGTGGGGGTGGACATTGCCTTGGGCTGGAATCTCCCCTAGTTCTAAGTGCCTACTTGCTCCCAGCTTCGAGAACTGTGCCCAGGAGTGAATAACCAGCCGTACCTCTGTGAGAGTGGTCACTGCTGCGGGGAGACTGGCTGCTGCACCTACTACTATGAGCTCTGGTGTGAGTCTCCAAGAAGGTTATTTTCAGTTCCCTCTGTCCAACCCTCCCTTGGACCTTAGAATTGCAGCCTTCAGGGACCCTTCTCTGCATGGGAGGTATCTGAGACACTTCCTCCTCACCTCCTGCAGGGTTCTGGCTGCTCTGGACTGTCCTCATCCTCTTTAGCTGCTGTTGTGCTTTCCGCCACCGACGAGCTAAACTCCGGTTGCAACAGCAGCAGCGGCAGCGTGAAATCAACTTGTTGGCCTACCATGGGGCATGCCACGGGGCTGGCCCTGCCCCTACTGGTTCACTGCTTGACCTTCGTGAGTGACTTGAGCCTCTGGGCCCACTACCAGTGGCCTCTCCCAAACCAGGACCCCAAATCATCCCACATTCCCTTTTTCAGACATTTCAAAACACTGTTTTCCCTAATACGAGAGACCACCACCCCATCCCTAGTTACCCTCAACCAACTACGCCATTCTCTCCCCTGCAGGCCTCCTCAGCGCCTTCAAACCCCCAGCCTACGAGGATGTGGTTCACCGGCCAGGCACGCCGCCACCTCCTTACACTGTGGCTCCGGGCCGCCCCTCGATTGCTCCCAGTGAATGCACCTGCTGCTCCTCCACATCCAGCTGCCCTGCCCACTGCGAGGGAACAAATGTGGAAGGTGTTACCTCCCACCAGAGTGCCCCTTCTCATCAGGAGGGTGATCCTGGGGCAGGGATGAGCCCTGCCCCCACACCCTCCTCTGGTCGCTATCGCCGCCTGACTGGTGACTCGGGCATTGAGCTCTGCCCTTGTCCTGACTCCAGTGAGGGTGATCCAGTCAAGGAGGTGAGGGCTAGTGCCATCCCACCAGGTCTGGAGGACCACTCCCCTTTCGCACTGCCCCCAGATCCTGCACCCCAGGTCTCTCCCACGGGGCTGATGCCATCCCACCAGGTCTGGAGGACCACTCCCCTTTCGCACTGCCCCCAGATCCTGCACCCCCGGTCTCTCCCACGGGGCTGGCTTCCACTGCAGAGGACATCCCATAAGTAGTTTTGGGAGGGTGAGTGGATTATTTACCCACCAGAAACAGCCCTGGTCCCAACTCAAGATCTCTTTGGCCCCTCCCTGCCCTCCTAGAATCTGCCTGAAAGGGCTAGAGCCCTGAGGAGAGGGGCAGCATTTTGGGGACTGTGCTAGCTCTAGCCCCCAAGACATACACAGGAGCCTTTGATCTCATTAAAGAGATGTGAACCAGCTGCTTGTGGATTTGGGTGGACTGGAGCTCAACTTGCTGCATTGCACTTGACCTGACTGGGTTTGAAGGGCACAGGTAATTGTCACTTATCCCAAGTTTCCTGAGGAGAGCAGGCAGCCCTGAGGCCTGGAGTGAGCTAAGACCTCTTGGTGAGGCAAAGCTGGCAAAAGTAATAGTTTACTATGTTTTTCCAATTTATTTAGAAAAATAGACTCTGAATTCACATTCACCCCAGGGCGGTATGGGATGACAATAAGGAGACACCTGAGATGAAAAAGTATTTGAATTACTGGCATCTGAGGGGCTGGGGGCAGAAGCCAGAGACCTTGTCCCTTCAGATCTAGAGTGGCACAAGTGGCCTGGCTCCCCTCCCATCTCCCTTCTTCAGTAGTCTTCAGCCATGGCCAGTAAGACAAGGCTGGTCCAGCCCTGGAAAGGGCGGCAGCCTATACCCCGCCCATCCCTGTCACTATAGTGCTCCCACAGGAAACCTGTAGCCTGGTATTGCTGCCACACATTGCCCACCACATTGGCACGGAGCTCACTGTGGAGTTTGGCAGCACGGGCCTGGTGGGGACCTTCTAGATGCCCGTAGTGGTAGAGCGCTCCCAAGGCCAGGTAGTTGACATTGAACCACACAGCACCCCGCCAGTAGGGAGGGTCATGCTCTGAATTGCGCTGGCCATAGAAAGGACTGGAGGCTGCAAGGGAGCGCAAACCAAAGGGGCTCCAGAGATGGCGGCTGTCAGCTAAGATGTCTAGCAGGGGCCCAAGGCGGGACGAGTTGGGGTCTAGCAGCCGCAGCAGCAAGGGAAAAAGACTGACATAGCCCAGGGCATCTACATATTGTAAGTGAGGTTGGGGCCGGCCCACCACTCGAACAAGCCCCTGGGGGGGCCTAGGCTTCAGCTGGACTGCTCTTGTGTGGTTCCCAAAGTCTGCAAAGACCCCTAGCTCTGGGGCCCAGTGCAGTTCATCCAGGATCTCCTCTGCTTCCAGATTAGCAGCCAGTTGGCCCAACTCAGCAGCCACCTTGGCCTCTCCCAGATGCTCTGCCAGCTTTGTCAGCACACGGGCACCCAGTGCCACCCAGCATCGCAGGTCCAGGTGCCGCTCAGTGGCTGAAGGGTGTGAAGCCCGGGGGTAGTCATCCAGCCCTGAGGGCAATGTCTTGGGGTTCAGTAGGGTTGGCAAGGCTGGGTCCCGGCCCCGCCAGCGGTAGGATAGTGGCACTGGCCCTGCCTGGCTCTGATGGAGCCAAGAGAACCAGGCATACAAGCGGGGGAAGGCCCTGCGGAGGAAGACCAGATCAGCAGGGTCACCAACCTCTAGCATGTGTGCTACAGGCAAAAGCAGGGTTGGGGGATTGGCATGGACTGCCCGTTGCACCACGAATTCTGGGGGCACCCGGGCTCGGGCCTCATCCCCCAGTATCTGCTCCCGCCCAATCCAGCCATCAGCATTGAGCAACCCTAGCCAGTGGCCTAGGGCCTCCCGGGTGAGGCGGGGATCCCACCGCTGGACCACCAGTTGATGAAAACCCTCATCCCAAAGGAAGCCTCGTGGGAAAAATGACCGGGAGGGTACTGCTGTGAAAAGAGGGACAGGTGGAAAGAGGGCTGGGTCCATCTTCTGCTCAGACCCTTCTACCCCCATATCTGGTAACACCAGACCCTGTCCATAGAAGTAGCCGATTCCTCCAAGGAGGCCGCTGAGGGCAGCCTGGCCCAAAGCCTGCTCCCCAGGGCTCAGACCCTTCTCCTCCAGCTGGAAGGTCTTCTCAAAGCGTTCTCTAAAGGCTTCAGCATGGCTCTCCAGGGCCTGGGTCAGTATGCTGCCTGCCAGCTGCTCTCGGGCTCGGTTTCCTCCTGTCCGGGCACTGCCTGATTCAAACACCAACTCCACAGAAAAGGGGACTTTCAGTGTCACCTGCTGTATCAAGAATTGCCCTTGTCCCTGCCCTTGCCCACTTGGGCCTCTGTCTTCCCACTTCAGAGATCCTGGCAAGCCAAGGTAGCGTTCAGGGGAGGCCCCTGGGGGCCGATGCTGAAACCAGCTATTTAGGCGACTCTTCACAATCTCCGTCAGCAGGGGCAGTCCTGGGTTGGAGGACCAGAAGACATTGTAGCTTGAAGGCAAAAAGATAAATAGGAAATGTTATTCAGGAGGATGTGGTGAGGGTTATAAAGAGAAATATGAGGTGATCAGGAGGCAGTATGGGAGGTCTCAGCAATGTAGAGGGCATGGAGGCTGGTGAGAACAGAAATGATTGGTGGAAAGAAGGTAGCATGGGGGAGAGAAAAGTCAGGCTAAGTCAGCATCCACACGACCCCTACTACCCCCCACACTCTCTTTCCCCAGTTACCTGCCATACTTGGGAGCAGTATCCCCTGGACTGGTTGGTGGCAAAAGTGTAAAGCGGAAGTCACCAAGTTCACTGGTATGCCCACTGATGAACTTCAACTGCCCCTTGGCCCCAACCTCTGGTAGTAGGACTTCCTTGCCATCTGACACCACATAGAAGAACAGGGAGACCAAAGGGAGGGCAGAGGTACTTGACGCCTGGATGACCAAGGAGGACAGAAGAAAACTAGCATTAGATTGGCATTCACTCTTGAGAATCAGCCTTAGTGAAAGAAAGGGATACCAGGCAGAAGATAACGGGGTAAACAACATACATGTTGCAGTGTGAAGGGTCATAAGAGTAAGCAGGTACACTCACCAGGATGAGATAAAGAGCCTTGCACAGTTTTCTCTGGGAAATAATAGAGTGCTTCTGTCCTATGCTAAGAACTACACAGGGCTGGTGGGTTAGCTCAATCGGTTAGAGCATGGTGTGATAACACAAAAGTCAAGGGTGATCCCCCAACCAGCCATAAAAAAATTATTAAAAACAAAACAAAAAAACTCTCCACAGATTATTTCATTTAATTCTTATAATCCTGTGAATTAGGTGCTATTACTATCTCCACTTTACAAACAAGGAAATCGAGGCTTAGCGATAGTCATATGGGCAAGTGTTTAAGGCAGGATTCAAACTAGGTAGCCAGACAGAGCCCCTGCTGTTAACCCGACTTCATACTGCATTTGCTGGAGTCCAGGGAAGGATGGAAGGAGTCTGGGCTGAGGAAAGGGTGTCCCGAGGCCCTGACCTGAGGCTCTACAGTCACTCTCCAGCTCCAGTCCCCTCCGTGCTGACCCCCAGGCCTCTTGACGAACTCAGTGGTGAGCCTTAAGTCCCCATCCTGGATGTGTTGCCGCCCGAAGGAGAGACCGTCGTGGAACTCCCAGCCATAGGGACCCACGCCGTCCCCCTGCTCACACGTGTGCCTGAGCTTAGGGGTCTCTGGGGTAGCGCCCTGCTGCGCCCACATCAGTCCTGGGGAGGGGGGGGG